CACACTTCAGTAAAGAAGTTACAACATACAAAATGAAGAATACATGTCTTGTTAACAAAGTAATGAAATTGATGCATAGGAGGTTATGCATTGCTAAACTAGTTCTATTAATAAATTTTCATATAACTTAATAATTTATCTAGCTTCATTCCAAAATGCGTTTAAAAAGCAGTTAAATTATTCACAACAAAGTTGAATAAAGTTACTGTCAATGCAACAAAAGGTTTTTATAGATGATAAAATTAAATTGTATGTTCATTAATATACTATCAATATCCAACTTTCAGTGTTTCTCCAATCATCACGACAATGACTTTTTTCTTTTTGCAAAACTTTAAGCACTAAATTTATAAAATATGTTTCATAAATTAGCTCTACATTGTGTAACATTTAACGTAGAAATTATTTTAACAAAATGTGAATTAACTTATTTCATCCTACACCAAACTGTCACAAAATAAGATAACAGAAAGATCAGGTAAATCCTTCAAATGAATTATTATAAGTGATGGATATAAAACTGAACTATTATTGATCAAGTTACAAAAAATAATAAACGTATTCTATGTAAGTACACAAATTACGATGATGAGCTAAGTGTGTGGTATCCCACCATCCACATTAAAGATTGCTTATATTGCACCTACAGCTTAAAATTTTGTGACAATGCACAGCTCCAAAATCGAGAGCTCTGCCATGGTGCCAACCTGCACCTTTTTTTTTCTTTATCTCCTTCAAAATAATTTCAACCATTTTCTTATACTTTCTCGAGTGGTTAGGGTTATTTGTAATAATTATAGTCTTTTGTTTTATAAGATTCAGCTGTTTTGATGAACTGGGTTTGTTTGTTTGCTTTGTCCCATGGTTTTGCAGATTAACACCTGTCATAATACTGAAATGTCAAGTAATACTTTAAAAATACATGCCAAAAAGAACAAGAGCATTGTTGGTGTAAAAGATGAGTGAAAATAACGACTTAGTGGACACTAAATGAAATGTAAGATTAGTGTAACATATTGTTGCGTATTTGCTCGTTTGCTTTCATTAACAATGTATTTTTATTGTTAAGATTGTTTTGCATTGTTAGTGTTGCG